GCTCCCCCGCCCCAACTTTCACTCCACCGCCGTCTTTCTTCTCGTTGAGGGACGATCTTGATCTGCTTCTCATCCGTTTGTGCCCTCAGCAGAGCGATAGACCGGACACATTTCACACGCTTTCGGTCAAGTCTATAGTCAAAGGTTGCAATAAATTGGATGATGACACCTGTAAAGAAGCGTCAGTCACGGTCACCTCCCCAAGTGTGTCACCCCCATGATGTAATATTATATCCTTGGTGAGTGCAGAGATAGCTCGACTAGGCCTACTTTCTATGTAGGTAATATTATTATTAATGTTCCCTTGCGGCGTTTTCGTACATGTACAACACTGCTGCAAGCTTTCAAGTTAAAATATAGGCCTAATCCCCTGTTAACATCTACTTCACCGTTCTTTGATTTTCAACTAATCATACATTGATATTTTATTTCATTGCCCTCTTTCATTTCCCCGTCTTTTAGCACCCAAGACCCAACTGGGCCACTGACTTTGTCTTTTGAAATAACACCCGACATTTGATGAGACAACTACTTTTACCCATTGTACTCACCCCCCCCCCCAGCTTTATCCCACCCTTTTATTTCCCCTCTGTTTTTGCTGTTTCTCCCTGAATCTTTTGTTCAGCGCTGCAACACGCACGGGCATGCTTTACCAAACGATAGTGAATAGTGCAAATCGGTAACGATGGTTCAGATCCTGCTGGGATATGGCATCCCTCTAGTCAATAACAGAGCGGATAATTCATTGAGGACTAATATTTTGGTTATTCGCCTGAAGACGTGCTGTTTTGGGGAACTTTAAAAGAGAAGCAAGAATGAATATCTTCGTCTAAATCTTTTCATTACGTTCGTTCATTGGAAAAGTAGGGAGGGGGGTGGTCAGTGAAAAGTTGACAAAAGGTGAGGGGGGGGGGGGGTGGTGGTCCTTACTTACTTAGTTGACATCAACCATGATGCTCTAAAAGGTTGGTGAAAAAAAGGAAGAAAAAATCTTGTTGTGTAAGTGTAATTAAATAATTGTACCGTAATAATAATAATAACGATCATGATTATTTAGTGCCTTGGGCCAAAATGTATGTGTAATATAATCGAATAGTCAGTGATTTGTGCTGATTCTATATTTTTAAGCAACTTTTACAAGCATCACAGGTTAAAAGTATTAAATTCTAGGATGTTTTGCCTCGCTGTGATTTAAAAATACATTCATTTCCTTTTAAATCTAATTACAATTTGTTTGTAAAGATTCTTTTTTCAACTCAATTCAAAATTTTGAATTACTTTATTTTTTTTTCAAATCGTTTTTTCTCATTTTCATGTTGCCAAATAAAGCATGCCATGCACAATGAAATATTCATTTTTTGTTTTGATTTATTTGATATTTATTTTTTCCAAGCTTTATGATACTCCAATCTGTTTGCTTTATTTATTTTCCAAGCTGTCATATCCAATCTATTTGTTTTAATTATTTTGATTTGTTAAAGTTGTTAATAAATAATTTGACAGTTCAGGTATTTCTTTGTTGCTATTACAGTTTTAATTTTTTAAATCTAAAATAAAGATCAAAGGTGTAAATATAAAATGCATCCTGCACAGGTTCTATCTAAATGTACATATGTACATTTTGGTTCACGTCAACTGGGGGGGGGGGGGGTTCCTGAGAAAGATGACAGAAGTTGGCCAAATTTTAGCTAACGTCATTTGTGAACAGTCTCTTACTGTAGTCGATGCGATGATCACTCCAAGTAGTTTAGTTTGGCTTATCTTCTTTAGAATTAGAACTTCAAATGTCAAATGGTATTCTTGAAAAATGGTCTAAAAAGTTTTGCATAGCAGTGATGACAGTGGGCTCAGAATACATGACCAGGAGATTACACTTACAGGCAGATTCTTCTATCACATTCGAGGTTCTAAGAAAAATATGATTACCATTATTCTTATGCTGCCACTATATGTGAACATCCTGGGAGCAAAAATACCAAAGAGAATTTGGACAAGTTAACAGAGTAGGCCTACATGTATCACTCCTGCTGCATACAACTGTGAGAAGTTGTCCATCGTTGAAAATATTTACATTGTAACTGCAAACAAAAGTTCTTCTCACACCAGACACTTCAGCATAAATATATAATGTAAAGTTCATAACTAACATTAGCACAGCAGTGACCAAAACAGATGAATTCATTGACCCCTGACCCAAGCTGTTAGTGCAATGTGATGAGCACATGTGTAAAAGTTATAAGGCAGTCCATGGAGAAAGAAAATCAAGTTCCATAATCTGGACAATGATATCTTGACAATATTTTGTTAATCTTGTACATAGTGAAAGTCAATACAAACATGAAAATAGTCAAGAGGCAAGACACTTTTTGGACTTAAAGTGAGAACAATTTATTACTTATTTTCACACAACTTACAAAATATGACAGAGTCCGAGCAAAAGAAAAAAAAAATAATTAAGAGAAACGTAAATGGTTCATCTTTTTGACCGTTTCACTGCAGCATCACGGCCTTAGCTTACTCATTGAAACATACATATAAAAACTTCCTCAGTGTTGTGGTGTTAATTGATTCAGTGTTTTATTAAATGAGTGGTTCTGTTCCTTATGGCATTACCAAATGCTGCTAGGGGCTTTAGAATTCATTAAAATAGAGTGCTTAAACTCAAAACACACTGCAATTATTTCTAAATGTCATCTTTTTTTTTTCTCCTAACCACCAGTCACTCAGAGATTTCATTGAGTCCTAGCCTTATGGCACAAGTACTACATTACTTGACAGCAATCCCTTTTCACTGGTAGCAGAAATATGTCTGTGCTTTCACTCCACAAGACATTCATTGTGAAGCAGGCTCATGAAAATCAAGGAAGAACTTGAAGTTTAGGACCAAATGTAGGCCATATTGACGGCGTTGCATTTTATCTAAATCAGGGCACTAGGCCGAGATGAAGGACAAAAAGACCCTTCTTACTTCGACTCAGACCACAGCACAGCATAGCCTGTTTGCAATAGACTGCATTATAGTAATTGGCAAAAATCAAAGTCAAAAGCAGATAACATGTCCCCGCAGTAATTTGAAAATTGCAACCCAAAAATTTGCCATAATTTGCCCCCCCAAAAATGCCAAAATTAGCCATGAAATCTGCCAAATTTGCCAAGAAATTTGCATTCATTCAGAATCTATACAGACAATAGCTGCTTACCCCATGAAACAGACATACTGAAAAAGACTGGCATTTTCATACATTTTAAAAATTAGAATTAAAAGAAAATCAGAAAGCTATAATATATACCTTTTATTTGAAAGCCTATTTTAGATCTAGAACATTCTCTATCAGAATCAATGCTTTGATGCTCAGTTACATTGAAATCAGGATCTCCAAGGTCTAAAATATCATAATCAGAATTTTCTGAACTGTCAAAGTCATCAAACTCAAACTCTTGAAAAATGTTTGTTTTTCATGCTGCCAAGAGGGCGGTTGCTGTGGTGTGGTTTGTTCCTTCTTTCCTATCAAACAACTCTCATCCTGATCTCTCCTTTTTTGTCTTTGCTACTCTCTTCTAACATCTAATCTTCTGCACTTATATGACCTTATTGCGTTGCGAGTGCCGTAAAACTCTTACTAAAACTGAACTGTGAAACTTCGCACGAAATGAAACAAAGGTCGGTTGCACAGTAAGAGACAGTTCACACAGCTTTTGTGCGCATACTTTACCGAGGAGAAAACGCGAAACTTGTGCTCGCAGGGGGTGCGAGAACCGCCTCTCAGGAAAATATTGGTGCTCGCAAATGCTGCATGAAACGTCTCCAGTGAGTTAACACTATATCAACTGAAGGACTTCAACATAAATACTTCGACATGGGAGAGCCAAGCTCCTGACAGACCCAGCTGGAGAGCAGCAGTCACAGTGGACGGCACATCATATGAGGCTTCACGATTGAGGAATGCTGCAACCAAGAGAAACCCACACGTTGCACACATCCACAAGTGGAAGTAGAACCAATTAATTGTTCAAAATGTGGCAAAATTTTCTCTGCCAGAACTGGTATCATCGGCCACAACAGAAGCTACAAGTCATCTCAACCTTTAATTCTTCAAATTCTTACATTTCACTGGAGAAATATTCTTCTCTGCGGCTGTATTGGTCATCGTCATCATTGACAGAGGAGCTATTATCTCCACTTGCCTGTGCTCTAATTCACATAAACATAACTAAACACTGTAATACTTTACAAAGTGTGCAGTTTCTTCTTCTGTTTGCTTAGCTTCTTTTTTTGTTTTCTTTTCTCAGCAGTGGTTGACGCTTTGATATCGAAATCATAATCGGGAATCCTCAAACTGAGGGTAGCTTTATGACCTTGGTTCACACTGAACTTTTTGCTTGTAATGAGTAACGAGTTGAATTTGTCTCTGTACACTGGATCTTGACAAACCAGGGAGAAGGCACTGTCTTCATCCAGCTCATCAAACTTGTTAAAAGGAACTCCAACTTCCGAGATCTGAACTCCATTCACCTTTGTATAGACAGAAAAAAAAAGAAATAATGCATTGTGAATTTGCTGTGACGTTTATAAAAAAAGATATGTTAACACTTTTATTTTAGTACCGTCGCCAGGCTGTAGTATGCACTTACTACCGCTGGTGACTTTAGTCGCCAACTCAACCAGGCGCACTAAACATAATTAAACAACGAATGGACTCACTGCACTGAAGTAAATACCTAAGGAAGTCACTATATGATAGCTGAAGGGTTGATAAACCTCTGTGAATTTTTAAAGCGTGTTTCTTGGGTTACGAAGGTTTTTTCGTTAAAAAAATATTTACCATGGCTTCAGTGTTCTAAACTGGTGCGGTACTTAAGGGTTTTTCAAATATGAGCCTTCGGTACTGTAAATGTTAAACAAGTTACCTATCTTTTCCAACAAGTTGTAAATTGTAAGTTTATTCATTATAAGTGTGTGTGTATGAGTGTGTGTGTGCGCGCGTGTGTGTTTGAGAGACAGAGAGAGAAAGAGAGAGAGAGAGAGAGAGAGAGAGAGAGAGAGAGAGAGAGAGAGAGAGAAAGAAAGAGGGAAAGAAAGAGAGAAAGAGAAAAACAGAGAGAGAGGCGCAGTCTACTGCATGGTGGCACTAACTTTGTGAAAAGTTAACTATACAGTAGAACACGGCTAAAGCGGGGCTTTTGGTTACAGAAGAAAAATCCCGCTGTAGGCAAGTTCCCGCTACAGGAGTGCAAAGGGGAAAATATAAAAAAATTTATTAAAATCCACATGATTACCTGTCTTCCATATCAATAAAACATGCGCTTTAGATTAGTTTTCCTTGTCATGTAAATTTCGTTAATTATCTCGGCCTTTAAATCGAGTGAGAAGCATTTCCTTTTGTCTTTGTCATTTTTTCCTCGGTCTTGTTGCTTGTGCTGTCTATTGTACGGGCAGTCCTACTGTAGAACTGATGAAGTGGACGCGAGCGTATGCTCGAGCAGCATCGATCACATTTCAATTAATCAGTAATTACACACAACAAGCTCTCCTCTTCTTTTACTTTTTGGTCTAGCCTAGAGCTATGGCCTACACGCTCTCATACTGAACCTCTAAGCTCCGGCACATCATTTTTGGATTGGCCCACGTAACGCGTCTCTCCTCACCATCTCTCTCTGCCGCCTGCCCCATCTCACTCATCACTGGACAGACCAATCACAACGCTGCACTGCTGACTGCCTGCTTGGAACCCGCCTAAAGTCCCCCAAACCCCTTCCCCCCAGCTAAACCTTGCTCGATCTCTCCCGCTGTATCTGAGTTCGGCCTTTCCTTATCCCGCTAAACCCGAGCACAGGTAATTGAGTTTATATATAAAAAAAAAAAAAACGGGGGTTTCGGTAAGGTCCCGCTGTAGGGATGGTCCTGCTGTAGCGGTTGCCGCTATAGTCATGTTCTACTGTACTGCCAATCCGATGCCATAGTAAAATTATTATCACGTAGTTAGAAAGACAGAAGTATACCTTATATGTCAGCGGCATCATAAAATCATCATCAAGTGACGGCCAAGTTTGATCTAACACACCATCATTCTGCAGCAAAGAGAGGGGGAAAAAGAATTTTTCAAGGTATAATTTAAATTATGTCAAAATAATTTATATGACAGATAGATCTAGTTACATAGGAAAAAAATCACAATTTATGATGAACATTTCAACACAAATTTTCTATGAGACATACAAAATTTATACTCTACGCAACAGAAAAGTGCTTACTTAGAACTTTATGGAGTTCCATTATTAATAAACTGTATTTTCATTGTCAATTATTTGGAAAGACATACCCAGTACACTGAAACTGGTACTTGTCACTGAAATGAAAACACTTTTTGTTCGAAGAACATTTGGACAATGTTTTATGTAACTCACAGAGGTGAATGAAGTTCTTAATGGGGCTCCATTTTCTTTGTCTATTGTCCGAGATCAAATCTAAGTACACATATATATATACATTAGGCATAAAAAATCTCTTGATACACACTTGTATTTTTGCATAGCTACAATGGTTGCTATGGAAATGATCGCCATCTTGAAAATAAACAGTACATTTCAAATCCCTAAGGCTTTCTTATTTACAGACCAAATTTGGTGAGAGTATACCTGAACTAGTCCCTATCAATGTAACAGAGACTATTTCTCAATAAATGTAAAAGAAAAAAAAATCTGAGGATTTTCCCAATGTCTAGACCTTTTCTAAGTTTTAGTTTATGGAAAAGTGTGGGGGGGGGGGGGGGGGGGATTTCGCAAATATCTCTGTTACATTAATGGCAGCCTTATCATCTATGTTACCTGAAAGTTCCATGTCACAAGGATAAAAACTGAGTAAGGAGTAGAGGAAAACCAGCAAAAAAAAGACATTTGAGAAAAACGACAGTTATTGTGAAAATTCACTACATTTTAACCCACCCTCATGTTTTCAAAGGAAATTTACAACAAGAATAAAGATTTTCTCAATTGTCTCTACGTTTTTTTTGGACAAAGAACTGGTTGACCTTCAAAAATCAGCCAACATCTCAATTGGCATAGCTTGACCCAGGGTCGCTCCTCCCGTTAATTGAGGTATATTTTATTTTCTGCAATTGCCAGATTAAAGGTTAAATTAAAAGGAACAGTTTTCATAAAAGGAGTATGTTTCATAAACAAACAAAACTCCCAAAACTTGAGCAGCTCAAAGAGCTCCTACCCAGCTGTGTGTGTCGTACTGAGCCACATCGGCAAGCCCCACCCACAACTCCGAGGCAAAGTGAGGAGCCATCACTCCTAGCATCACCACCAGGTCACCCACAGCTCTCTCATAGGCTCTGCTGGATCTGGCCACCTCTCTCGGTACTTTCTGTCATGTGAATACAAACGTGTAAACTGTGAATCAACTTGAACCATCTCACATTTCATACAAAACTTAAAGAGACACATGAAATATTAACCCCATACAATTTATCGTAAGAGCCTGTTCATACAGGAATGTAGACTGTTTTTTTTCCCCAAGGTACCCATATTTCTATTTTCCATAATCATCATGAGAAGAAAAAACCCTTCATCCTGCTGCAGTGACCATGAACATTTTGCCTGTAATGATAAAAGCCATGCCCTGTCCTGTCTTAGTGTTTGTTTGTTTGAGTAAAGAGAAGCACATAGACACAATAATGGTCATGTAGTGCAGAGAAAAAGTAAGAGAGACAGAAACAACAAAGAGAAAGTAAAGAGGTAGGACCAACCAAAGGCACCCTCCAACCACCCGCTTTAACAATCGTGGTATCAGTTTACTGTGATTGAAAAGCTGAGGTTATATTGTTAATAAGGCTATATTGTGCATTTGGTTGGACAATATATATCTATACAATATAGAAAAAAACAGTTTCAGGACTTTTTTAAGAGAACTCATATCATCAATCAAAGACATGAGAAAGTCATAGTTCAAAGATGTTGGTCGCACTACCAAATGGAAAATCCAGAGACATCCCTTTCACTTTCAAACACCACTTAACTTCCAAAAAGCCTAAACAAATAATAAGGACAAAAGCCCTTCACATCTGTCTCTCCTAGTACGCCATCATTTTGGTAAGACACACTTTTACTGTTAGTAAAATAGGTTTTTACTGCCCACAAATAATAGCCACAAGCTTCAACTTCACAAGGTCAGATGTTGATAAAGTAAGTGTGGAGAATAAAAGTGAACTAGCAGCAATGGGAATGCTGACCTCAGTGCTGCATATTTTTAAGTGAAAAATGGTCAGTTTTACTATTTCCACCGAAATGCATATTTTCCATTTTTCTCCATCAAAGTAGAGCAACGAAATGTTTCAAGATGACAAACGAATGATTTAGTTATAACACTATAGATAATCATGGCTGTGGTAACACTTGTCCATGATAGTACAAAAACTACTACCAGATGTCACAACTGTATTTTTTGAAATAAGTGAGGCACAAGACAGTCTCAGAAAAGCAACGGGGCATGAACAAATGACAAAAGCAAGAGCAAATAACCACTCACAGAGAGCCATGACACATATGAGTGCAGCCGTGAGATTCCAGCATTGATGTGGAAAGTTCTTTCAAACTGGAAGTTAACCTGTAGCACAACAAACAAGGCAATGGTAAAAAATGAACAAATAATCATTAAAAATGTTTCGTGAAAAATTTAACAGGTTGACTTTGAAACAAGGCAAAAGTGCAGTTTTGATGAAACTTTTGATCTATAAGGTATCAAGCTCATGTTCCATAATATAGTGTAAAGCGCATAGAGCCTGCTGTTGAGCGGGGATATGCGCTATAAAAATGCTATCTATTTTCCACTCAAACATTCAGGTAAGAGCCTACTGCTCCAGATGTATAGTCTATAACCTACTCACCTTTCAATGAATATGGAAAGAAAAATTGATCAAAGATGCACAGAAATGTTTTGGATGGCTGAAGCTGCCATTCTTCTTTATATTGAATTGCATTACATTTTTTTACAAAAGTTTCAAAAGTGATACATGTGTACTTACCATTATCATTTCTATTTTATTTATTTTTTTACCACACATGCAATTCAATAAAATTACCCTTCCATTTACTTTAGACAGACAAATTTGCAGCCATTCTTTGTCCTACTGCCTTTGTCAAGAACTTTCTCCAAAGCAAAATGCAGGACTGCATTCTGCATCCACCTCTTCCCCCCAAAGATGATAAGATAAACATTGCTAGACTTTTGTTGACAAAAGCAAGAGCAAATAACCACTCACAGAGAGCCATGACACATATGAGTGCAGCCATGTTTCCCCATGCCTACGGACAAGGTGTACATCTAGTAGAGCGAGACCTGTTCAGTGCCAGAAGAAAAACAAAAACCGCACACGGACTATTGCTCACATTGTTGACGACATGGTTCCTCGCTTCGTCAATCTTAGCCTCCCAGTTGTCACGATCAGCATCAATTATATCTGATGTGTTACCTGGTCCCTCGAGTCGATATTTCCGAAGATTGCTGACCAAACCCCATATTTTACGCTGCCAATTCACCACACCTGTATACACTGAATAATCAAAACAAAACATAATGAAAAGAGTCTTAAATTAAAAGCACTTAAAAATGGCATGGACCTATCCATCATCCCCCCCCCCTTTTGCCCCTCGGGGTACTCAATTTGAATATCAAGCAAGTTGTATTAGTTACATTGGAAAGACATTAAAGAACCAACTTTAAAAAAAAACAACGGTTCAAATATTCAATCATAATTTTAGTAACATTAAAGGGAAAAGAGAAAGAAAAAAACTTTTAAATATGTGAGTCACGATGCAGTGGAATCAGGGGGGGGGGGAAGGGCAGCATGTTTGGGGCATATGGAGTTATTCGCATTATAAATATACTTTTCTGAAAAACATTGTCTTCAACTTTGTTTTAAATAGATTAAAATATCAGTAAAATCAACACAGAAACATGTTTTTGAATTGATATAAAAGGTATTGAGCCACCCCAAAATTTTTCAAATAATAAATATTGCCCAACAGGCGCAAAAATGTCTGATTTTTTAATTTCCTTATATTTATTTCGATGAGCGCCTGATTTCACCATGATGCCACATATATGTAGGGACTCAGCCATTAAAAATTTAACTCAGAACTGTACGAGATATCATTCTGTGGACAACATTCTCATTGAAAAAGAAATGAAATAGATCTATTTCTTCTATCCCGTCAACAACGAAACAAGCTAAATATCACATGCAGACACAGTAATCTGAAAAGCAAAAGTAATATGTTATGGTTGACCAGAATAACCATAAACAGTAACTTTGTGATGAAAAGCTCAAAAAAATTCCAATGCGAGGCATTGTGGTGAAATCAGGCACTCATTAAAAAAAAAGAAAAAAAAAGAAAACTGTATTTATCCACAGGTATGGCAAATTTGACAAAATTTTTGTTTTTCGGCTCATCACCTTTTAAGTCCATTAAAAAACATATTTCTCTGTGGATTTTAATGAAAAACGTTGACTAAAGGCACGCAAAATATGCAGTATCAGATTCCAAGGACTCTCAAGCTATAGAAGTCACCAAACTTTGGCAGCCATTTTTTTGCTAATTTTACAGCAGAAACCAGGCAAACCCACCCTTCTTCAATCGCAAATATCTCGACATTTATTCGAGACAGATCCGTATTTTTCATTGAAAGCAAGGCAAGTTAAAAAGCTTTAAGACAATACCAGTGCCATTTATTCCACATGCCCAAAAATTGACGAGCACCTAATTCATCGCGTCGAGAGACAAATTAATGATAAGAACTAACAAGGTTAGCAGAGCCTGAGGGAAGATCATAAGCCATACAAAGTGGGCACATGGGAAATGATATAGATGACCGAATCCGCAAAGCATTCTTGAGCTTACAGTCAAACCCAGTACAACCTTTAGACCGACATCCCCCATCTGATTGAGTTGTCCAGTCTTTCAGGTTGAAAGTCTGCCCAACACTGTCAGAGGTAAACACTACACATGGTGCACAGTACCCCTTCAGCAGCTGTGCAGTGATCATCTCCCTTTCTCCTACACACGACTGTCAGCTAGCAATCCTCACAAGAAAGAAGTCTGAAGGCCATCTCATCAAGTTTTGGACAGAGGAAAATATCTTATTATAATATTACCCTTCATCTAGTCATGGCAGAATCCTTTCCATTGACACTGGGCAGTCAGCGTTTTTAACATGACAGAATAGAATCCTTTCCTTTGACACTAGGCAGAAGTGTTGGTGCCGGTCCTTTCCCGGCACTGGGTGTCGAGAACCGCCAGTACCGGTACCGGTACCGCGGTACTGGGAGTGACACCAGGAGGTCAGAGACTGTGCATCTCGCGCCTCGCGCAATGATCAGCGCCGCCTGCATCCCCCCCCCCACACACACAAGTCAGAATTGGGAGAGGCGAGTTGTGAGGCAAAATCCCTTTGAAGTTTTCCGCCGCGCCGGATTAAACTTTGCACGCAACCTTTTTAAAATAATAATCGCTGCTAAAAATAGATTTCATTTTTGGAATCAGCATATCAAAATAAGCAGTCGTTAGTTAGTTTTGAATCTGAAATCATGTATCAAGGTCACCAGCTGAGAGGTGCATCTGACGTCACAGCAGCTAGACCTAGGCCTAGGCCTTCACACTGCACACTTCCGGGGCCCGGTAAAAAACCGTTGGTGCCGGCTCCTTCCCAGAGCTGGTATTGGAGGCCTGGTGCCGGTACGGACACCTCCTCCGGTAGAATCGGGAGTTCCAGTACTGGGTACCGGTACCTGCCCATCTCTACTGGGCAGTCAGCGTTTTTAACATGACAGCATTTAAACCCTGTTATAAAGCCAGTCCCGCTATATCGCCAACTTCATGCTTGTCGTGTCCCTAGATTGGTGGTAAAACAGAGTTTGACTGTAGTTTGATTCGGGCATTTTCAAGGCTTTCCATCCACTTTGCTCTGTCCAGTTGGATATGGTCCCATCTTTTGAATAATTTCCCAATGTTCAAAGGGATATTAATGAATCATCTAACACAGTGTGAAATGACTGTGAAGAGAAGTTATAAAATAGGCTTTCGTATCTTAGATGACAATATTGAAAATGTATTTTCAGTGTATGGAATATCAGGCCAAGGGAAATAATCCTACTTAATTTGCAAAACAATAAGCCATACAGAGTTTGGAATACTTGGCAAAGGGAAATAATCCTACCTATTTTAGACCAGTTTCTGTCTGACATTGGAGACACGTTGGATAAAATACACAACCTGGTTGAGTCAACACCAAATTCAGCCAGAACGTCCTGTCAAAGTAAAAAAAAAAAAGAATGTTGAATTGCTGCAGTGTAAAAGTACAACTTATCAAGCACTTAATCCTCTCTGCCTCAGCGACCTCTGAGGTTCACATGCAATGATCCATACTCATTATGGTTGTTGGCTGCTCTGGTGCACTGTTCTAACGATCCTGCAGTCCTTGACTCTATGTTGTCAGTCAAATAGTAATAGTAGCATCTGCCTTCCAATTGCCCTTGTCCCTTCAACTAGATCTAGACTGCTTTCTAGAGTTTCTATTAAAGAACTGTGTTGTGGCTCTTAACCCTTTCGTTGCCAGGGGGTATACATTCCTAATGTCAGCACTGATTTTCAGCTGAGCTCATTGCCCAGGACAGCAGCCTAATGTCTCAGTGTTAATGGACACGTGGTCTAGATCTAGCACACTCATGACATATTTGGGACACCGGGTCTTCGATTGTGTCACTTCTCTCACTTTTCTTATTCCCCATTTCCTCCCATCTTACTCATAATTTCGAATAACCTTCAAATTTAAGTCAAAAAGTGAATTTATTAGCCTTTTTATTAAAGTAATTTCGATGTTTGCGTTTTACGAGAGCACACGGCAGCCTGCAAGCCTAGAACTATGTTTATTGATCGCATGCAAGCCCAGCAGTAAAGAAATACTAGCAAATATTTGGTACCGATATGTGTGTCTTTTATTCTCGAATACGAATCTACGCAGTGCTTGTCGCTAAAACTCCATACAGAAGAATAAGAGCCAGGTTATTAGCGGACATACGTGTAATGTCATATAGGCAACCAGGAGCTGCAAATTTTGCCAACTTCCGCGACATACTTGGTACGGTACAGCGCTAAAAATTACGCTTACCTCATAAGGCAACGAAGGGGTTAATGTGGTCAAAATATCACATTTTTAACACATACTTAACCATCAAATTTATCATACTACTTCAGTACATCCACTCTGCCTTTTGTCCTGCATTCTTTAGCACTTTGATTAAAAGGGCCATGTGTTTAGTGCATGAAATCCCCATCATTTGTCTCATGACGTGGTCAATTCACAAAAAAGCCTGTGTCATACGTTTATACACTTACAGAAACAAGGTCATAACAAGTGCCGAAGATAAGAGGTGTAACAAGAGAGTAACAAACACATAATATATAAAAGGAGGAGAGATAAGGACGACAGATGTTTGATGGAAATGAAGAAGCAAACCACACCAGAGCACCCGCCAACCACCCACAGCTCACCTCTGGGTTGACACCGTTGTGCTTGCTTTTGCTCATTTTCTCCCACTCAGTTATGAGCTCCTCTCCTGTTCCTGCCTCCACTGGTACTTCCCCTGAAAAGTTCCATAGACAAGAATGTCACTGTCATATTGACTACAACAACAATTTAACAACACAACTATCCTATTATCCTCACTCTTGCTCGATCAACAAAATAACAATAACAAACAAAATACAAACAACAGCAACAAAAACAAGAACAGTGCGGCTACTTTCGATAGGGACTTTAGATGGGAATGGTTTGTTTTCTTCATTTCGATCAGTCCTGCGTAAGACAGCCACATGTCTTACACCACTTTTCTCCCTGACAATGGGTGGTCATCTTACACAGGTTTGACAGTACTACTATTACTACTACTACTACCACTACTACTACTACTATCGCTTACACAACTACTACCGCCAGCTCTAGTGGCACCACCTCCAGCACTTCTAACACAGAAAAGCAACTCTTCTTTTTATCTATCTATGGGAACACTGTCAACCTATCTATGCACAGAGGAGAGAGTTATGTTCCCTTTGCACTTCACCTTACCACATAACCTTCAATTAATGGGCAGCAAGGTTTTAATTTTATGTACAGAAAGGTTAGGTACAGGAACTTGAAAAGGGAGGGTGGAACATTCAGTCTTTTAAAAATATCTATCTGCAATTCAAGGCTGTCCAACACTCTGCTAACCTGGGGGAGGGACATAATTTTCTGAGCTGTTCCCAATGGATTTAAAGAAAAATGCCTGCTCTTCACAACTGATTTTATAATTGAGGCATCCAAGTAAAGTGAAAGAAATACGGTACACACGGAAGGGGATGGGAAGGGGCAGGGGTATACATTTTCCTAAGGTGTTCATCTACTACCAGTATCCAAACAGAAAAAAGTAAAAGTGATTATTAATAGTCCAGAATCCTTTCAGGCGGAAGGATCACATGACTTCCCAATGTCTCCATTGGCAAGTCAGGGAACTCAAATTTACCTAACAAGTCTCCCAAGAAACACCCGTCCACACGAGCAACACTAAACTGACAGTGGGTGGTAGGCAGGTGCTCTAGTGTGGTTTGCTCTTTTCCTGTCAAACGTCTCGCGACCTCAGTGCTTTCTCATCGTATCTCCATTTTCGTTAACAGTGAAAATGTGACTTCTTCTTAAGCTCACTTTTCGTTATGAACTGTTTTCACTGTTATTAAAAATGGAGATACGACAAGAAAGCACTGAGGTCGCGATCTGTTGTCCTTATCTCTCCTCCTTCTTTTTTGTGTTTGTTACTCCAATCTTAGGCACTCATTTGATCTAATTGTGCTGCAAGCTCTGTAAAACACTAAAACAAAAAAACTAACCTGACAGGTCCACATAGTGTGGAGGGACATATTTCCCCGAGCTTTTCACCCTAAAGCTTTCCCCCTTGACCATGCCCTGGGTCAGCAGGTTGACAAATGGTTCACGCTGTTCCAAAAGGCCAAGGGAGTGCAGGAAGTGGCACACAAACCTGGCAAAGTACAGGTGAAGCAATGCTGGAGACACAAAAGGTGAGAGTGAGACTCGCTTTAGTTTTTGGTAGATTTTTTTTTTTCAAGAAATAATTTGACTTTTAAAAAAATTAAAGGGTTTGAAAAAGCAATAGGGGTTGTATTTTGTCTCAAATCAGCATTATAAAAATTACATTTTACCAGGCACAGATGAGCATAGTAAAAATAATAGTACCATGAGCAGGCCTCATTTGATTGCCCACCAATTGCTCATTGTATAGAGTTGTACAATGTATAGCGAATCAAGAAGTCAAGGCTATAGGTTTATAATTCACAGCATTAGTGACACATTATTACAACAGAGAGAAAACTGCATCCAGTATGCATATTTCAAAAATACATTTATTGTCTACACTACAGTCAAGTCAGGTTTATAAAATAGATAAAAACTAATTCAGTTCCCTAACACACAGACTATTAATTTTGTTTTTCAAGTCATCAATTTGAATATCCATTGCATATCCCTCATTTCAAGTTGAAGGCCTGGTGTAAGTAGAATGGAAATTTCTTTTGAAAATAAAACACGAAAAGAGAAAAATTCCACATGAATGGAACTGATAACTACAGTAATAACCCCATCTATTTCAAAGGGATTAAACACAAAGTTACCGATTGTTTGGGTATGAGCAAAAATATGTGAATGAAAAAGTTATTCATTTGTAATACAAAAGAATTCCATCAAAGAGAATATATAATAGACATAAAGAGATAAATATATTTAGCGCTTGGCTCAACACTAGATGAACCTCCCTATTTTATACCTCACCAAAGAGATTCACACATTCATGAATTTTAAAATATTTAGATGGGAGCTAGTGTACACAGATGTCAGGATAAGCTACCAGATAACTGTTTTCAAACATTGTCTATTCAGATAACAAATAAAAACTCAGTCTTTCCCCCCTTTATTCCATAAATGCATCCTTATAAAGTTATTTACATATCAGGTAGTCATCAGTAGGTGGTTGGAGGGCACTTGGATGTGGTCTTTGTCTTCTACTTCTTTTCAGTATTACAATCATCCTAATGTATTCTTGCTGAGATGCGGATTATACTAAACTATCAGGAAACTAGCACTCAGCAGCAACAACATAAGCAATAAAACTCAAAAGAAGTTTCATCAGTGAACGGCAAAAGATCAACTTCAATAGATACCTCTATCTTAAGCCTGGCCTTTCATTGTTAAGTGGAAAGATAGAAAAGACGGTGAAGGATCGGGTTCACATGAAGAAAATAGATAGCAAATATACGCAGAAAAGCACTGAGATGGGGTCCCATGGATCAACCTGTAGAAAAAGTGGGAGGAGGCCATAAAGGCAAGGAGCCCCATGTCCGTGTCAGCCAGAAGAAGCACCAGACTGGGAACGTCTGTGTCATGTACAAAGGAGGCAAGACACACAGTATTTGTGCAGACAGAGAGGTACCAGCTGAATGTTTTGGGATTATGCCCACTTCTGAATAAACCAGGCTCGGCAGTAGCCTCTGAAATCTCACCTGGAGACAAAGATCCTTCTTGTTAAGTGTTAGGGCCAACCCAGGGTGAGAGGTTACAATTAATATCCCAGTGGAAAGACCGAGAAGCTCAATAAAAATATTCTCCAAACAGGAATCCAGCTCAGGTCTTCTGCATTTGATGACGAAGCGCCTAACCGCTACACCACAGACACAGGTATAAAGACAATCAATAGTATGCAAATAAGCAAAGCAGCAGACCCATATATATATATATATATATATATATATACGGAATATCACCAGAGGAAATTAAAGTTAATACAGAAACATCAGCCAAGATTTTGCACAATGTCCTTCTCAGAATACTTTGGGATAAAAGAAAGAAGGGATGTTGTCAAGTTGTCAAAAAAGGAAACTTTCAGGAATGTAAGAATTACTGAGGCATAATGCTGTTATCAATCCCAGGGAAAGGTGGAGACAGGTAAAAATAGACTGGGAAAAACTTTGACCCCACTGAAAAAAATTCACGGTTCAAAGTTTTTCCTGGTCCTTGTGGAGTTTCATGTACAAGACAAGACCAAGAGTGACATCGCAGAAAGGCATTCCCTTACCATGCTCTTTCCCGCCAACATACAAGTCCACAGGCATGAACTTTCTGGCTATAGAGGGATTAAAAGGCTGCTCATCATTCCGAGGGTCGAGATAGCGGAGAAAGTACCACGTTGAATCTACAAATGTGTCCATTGTGTCTGTTTCTCTCTGTGCAGGACCTCCACATCTGGCCGGGAAAAAATCAGATACCTATCAATGCAATTCACTCAGAATCTAGATATCTAGAAAACCTTTGAACAAAATATTTGTTAATGTTGAAATGGTATAGTTTTAAAGCCCCTATCAACACTATTAGGTTATAAAAGAGGCGGATCCTTCGAGTTTGACGTCCATCTTAAAAGGACAGAGCCAAACGGTAGAGCTGTACCCCGGTAGCAAACCCGCTTGTGCTCGCAAAACCCCTAGTTCAAGTCACAAGCCTCAAATCACCAGCATGATAAGTTGAGTCTAGCCTAAGCTTCAAGTCCACAACAACTAGCAATCTGCGAAGCCACTCGTGTCAGACCCCCTCATCCTCCCCACCTTGCTTGCAATCCACGAAGCCACTTACGCCAGAAAAAGAAAGAAAGGGGGAGGGGGGAGATCCCGCTCACAGTGTCACAGCGTGGCATAGGCCATTCCCAAAGGGGAGACATTTCTCGTTCTAATGCACAGGAGAATGGTAAATGGGCTGATCCAACAATGTCATGCTCATAACTGTGCCTGAACTACACAAGGGGAACTGCTGCTTTTTCTTTCCTAATCCGTACAATCGTCATTTTCCTCTACTTCTTTTGTATGTTTGTCACGCTCTTGTGACCCGCTATTTCCGGGGTGCCTTGATAGTCGAAGCAGACTTTGTGCTGTTGAAGCTAGAGAGGTGAGCAGAGTAAGTCTGATTCCCTGTAAGGACTTCTCTGTTGACATCCACCCCTTGGCGCTCATATGACCTTACACAGTTGCGAGCGCCGTAAAACCTCTACTAAAACAAAACAAAGTGTCTTTCCCATCGAACCGAGCTAACGCTCGAACCCCAACACCTGCAATCTCACGATTACGGGTCCGGTAGCTTTACCAATAGGCCATCAAAGCCATCCTGAAAAAAAACCCCATCTACAACAATGATTTGATAAAAACTTGGGACATATAAGGTAACGCCACCTAGTGATGAAACAATACGAATTAATTTAAATTCAGCATAATGTAATGAACGATCTATCTAATAATCTACTATGGTTAAGACACTTGGAAACCAGAAAATTCGACAGGCATTAACACAAGGTAAAGATTCAGAAGCAATTAAAGAGCGAACAATAGGTCTTAGCAGCAGGTTAGGAACCAGCTGGGATCTCTAAAAACTAAACACAGACAACTCAGCACAAGTGATTTCGATTGGGCGGTCCGTGAAAATCAGAAAAGTCCATTGCTTCAATTAGTTGGGAGCAGTGGTCACTGGTTAGTCATTGTAGAGGTTTAACACCCCTTTCAACACTGTAAAGGTTGTAGAGATGGGACCTCCGAATTAACTGATGACGGGAGAAGACCTGAAATATATTTCAGGGTTGCACAGACAGCAACAAACAGCAATGTAAAAAAAATGAAGATCAAAAATAGAGAAACAAAAACTTTATTCTAGGCTCGCTGTCTAGAATAATGTGCTCTGTGCACCTATTAATTGAGAACCCTTACAGATAGAAATCGAGTGGATAAACATCCAAAAAGATGAGCTGCTTTTGTAGACTCAGGGGCATCTCTTGCGAAAGAAGGAGCAAACCATACCTGAGCACCACAGAATTCTACCTGTGCTGAGCACCCATCAACCACCCACATAGCGGACACATATGTCCGATCAGCAGCAGACCAAAGGCGATGTTGTGTCAAATTTCGAACCGACACACACATATCTGACACACCAATTTGATTTTCATTGTACGCATGTTGTTGCTTGCCATTTTATAGCAGAATAGAAAAACACGTGAGGAAAAACGAAATTTTTTTTCTTCTTTTTTTTTCTGGGAGGACAACGTCTCAGAATGGACATGCTTGAAGTTGACAGACGCTCGGAGAGGCGCAGAGGTCGGGG